GCCAGTTAGCATATTAATCACCTCAGATATTTGTTCTTTTTTTGTGGTCAGAACATTTAAAATCCTCTCTTTTAACTGTTTGGAAATATACAGTCACCATGCTGTACAGTAGGGCACCAGAACTTATTCTTCCTAAATAACTGAAACATTGTTCCCATTGGCCAGTGTCTCTTCTTTTCCTTCCTCCCACCCACCTCCTCCAGCCTCTGGTACCACCATTCTACTCTCTACTCCTGTGAGTTTGACTTTTTAAGATTCCACCTGTAAGTAAGCTCACACAGTATTTGTTTATCTGTGCCTGGCTTCTTTCACTTAACATAATATCCTCTAGATTTATCCATGCTTTTACAAATGGCAGAATTTCCTATGTGAAAATAGGATATATTTTTTAATAAGACATTAAGTTAGAGGTAAAACTTACCTTTTTTTGAAATACATAGCCACAGTTTCGACACTATTGAATAACACATTCTTTCCTCCACTGATTTAAAATTCAGCTTTTGTTAATTAACTACCATGTAGTAACCATTATAGCTAAATTTGTTTGTTGACTTCCATCAGAGGTTTCTGCATTCGTACTGTGCCATTTGTTTACAGTCGCATTAAAGTCTATATTTCTAACTGATGAATTGTCCTTTATTATTCTTTGTCAATTTTTTTGGTCAATGACTCTTTTACTGTTTTTGTTTTGTCATTGTCTATTGCAACTTAAAAAATCCTTATCATCATTTTAATGTGGTCTTGGGAAGAAGAGGAAATAGATGGAATTATTAGCCTGCCATCCATAACAATCCTCTCACTCTCTTTCTTTCTTTCTTTCTTTCTTTTTAAATGATTTTACCTGTTTCCATTGAGATTTTCTTTTTTGTTGTTGTTGTTAAAATTATATGGAAGTTTAATTCCAGACCACATATATGTAAGAGATAGATATAGATACGAATTCAAATCTGGAATAAGTGTACATGTACTCTTATCTTTCAAGACTTCTAACAATTAAATTTTACAACTATATTTTCAATTATTTTTATATTTAACCACATTTTAAAAATTATATTTTAAGTCCTGGGGTACATGTGCAGATTGTGCTGGTTTGTTACATAGGTATACATGTGCCATAGTGGTGGTTTGCTACATCTGTCACCCCGTCATCTACATTAGGTATTTCTCCTAATGCTATCCTTTCCCAATCCCCTGACCCCTGCTATTCCTCCCCAGCCCCCCACCCCTCAGGCCCTTGCGTGTGATATTCCCCTCCCTGTGTCCATTTGTTCTCATTGTTCAACACCCACTTATGAGTGAGAACATGTGGTGTATGGTTTTCTGTTCTTGTGTCGGTTTGCTGAGAATTATGGTTTCCAGTTTCATCCATGTCCCTGCAAAGAACATGAATCATCCTTTTTTATGGCTGCATAGTATTCCATGGTGTATATGTGCTACATTTTCTTTACCCAGTCTTTTAACCATGTATTTTATTGGCTTTATTTATTACATCTTTTACATAACATATCTTCTCCTTTCTTGAATTCATTATTCTGCCTTATTTTTCCTCAGCTAGAAGAGATCTTCAAGTAACCTTAAATTTTTTTAATAAGGGATGTTGGGGTGATATAATTTCTCTGTCTTTGAACATACCTTTCTTTTGTCATAGCATAAGGGAAATCATAGTTTGATAGCTGGTAGAATTCTTAAGTTGCAAAATGTTCCCTTAGAATTCTACAAAAATTGTACCAGTGTCTTTTAGCATAGTGTTACAGATGAGAAGTATGGTATCAGTCTTATTTTCTTTCCTTTTAAGCAACCTGATTTTTCTCCCCTTTGAGGAAGCTTGTGATTGTTTGTCTTTGTTCTTGGAGTATCAGACTACATCAGGAAGACTGTATTCTTTCAGCAATCCTGCTGCCTAGCGTGGCATCTGATATATGTTCTAAAGTCTTGGATATTCTGGGTCTCTCTGTTATATCTTATGTTTTATCTGATTATTTAAATCTCTGTGTGTGTGTGTGTGTGTGTGCGCGCACACATGTGCACTTTTTTTGGGAGTGGCAGTAGCATTCCAAAAGGAGCTGATCCCCTGCCCCTATTCAACCTTTGGCTTCTATTATATTTGGAACAAATCTCACTTTCCAGAGAAGCTGTGGAACTATTTCTGTGTCCAGCCATTCTGTGTGGAGAAGATGACCATGTTCCTGATATCCCTTAATTTGCCTTTAAACTTCTGCCCATGACTCTACTCCAATCCTGATTCTCTGAGTTTGGGATTTTCCAGGACTGTTTTCTGGAAACTTGTACACTTACGTCTTAGTGGTCTGTATTAGTCTGTTCTCACACTGATAATAAAGATATACCCCAAACCAGGCAATTCATAAAGGAAAAAAGCTTTAATGGACTCACAGTTCCACATGGCTGGAGAGGTCTCACAATCATGGCAGAAGGTGAAGGAGGAGCAGAGGCCTGTCTTACATGGTGGCAGGCAAGAGAGTATGTACAGGGGAGCTGCCCTTTATACAGCCATCAGATATCATGAGACTTACTCACATCATGAGAACAGCATGGGAAAAACCTTCCCCCATGATTCAATTATCATATCTTTCCCACAGCATGTGGTGATTATGGGAACTATAATTCAAGATGAGATTTGGGTAGGGACACAGCCAAACCATATCAGGGTCTTTGTAGAATCATGAACTTATCCGTACTAGTTAGTTTTTCCTCCCATGTCCCATCTACTTTCTATCTTCCCCATATTTTTCAAGATCTCTGCTTTATTGATGGCATCTTTCCCTGATTCTCAGCATTGTCAGTGATGTTTTGGTCATGCAAATAGGTTTTTGGAGGTGAGGAATGAAAGGGAGTAAATATACAAGCCCGACCTACCATTCCCCAAACGAAAAGCCCCAGCGTGGAAATAGTGGAGGGGACTAACTCATCATATGGATAGCTGGACCAAGTGACCTTCCAGCCTCATCTAACTCTGGGAGGCTTTTCTTTAAAGCAGCATAATTAAGGGGTTAAGAAACAACTTTTATAGAAAAGACCAGAGAAATAGAGTTTAGTTTACTCATGAGAACAGAATGAGGTGAGACTTAAATGGTGAGTCACATTAAGCCTGCTGAAGACACAGCAGGAGGGACTAAGATTAAATTACAGCCAAAGTGATTCATATTGGTCACTACAAAGATCATTTAACCCTTCAAAAGTTGCGTGGCATCATAATACAGTGCAAAGCCAAGTTACGAAGCCTCATTTTCTAGAGCTGTTCTCTTTAACAGTAAGAGGATGGACTTGAATCACCTTCCGAATTATCTGACAGCCTTGTGACATGATTATACCCTGGTGCCTGGGATGTTAGATGGGAAATAAACAGCAGCATCTGGTAAACTATCCTGGGGTTAAAAAAAAAATCTTGTTTTCACCCAGTCTTTCGGATTTTTTTAATGCAAAGAGAATTTTTTGTCAAAAACACATTCTCCAAATCTGTAAACCTGATTGGAGACATCTTTAGTTTCTTTTCAAATGCGCTGGAAAAAATAGGAATGTCACTGAGATTCCTTCAACGTCCCCTCGCAGCCCCTATCTCCCCCGGCTGGGTAGAGGGAGAAGCAGGGGTTGGGGGCTGGACCAGGGAGAGACTGACAGGCTCTCCGTGGTAGGTCTCTGCCTTGTCACAGAGCCTCCTGGGCTCAGGTCTATGGTGGCCGCGGGAGAGCCAGCTCCACGCTGTGTGGCTGGTGACATTTCCGGCTGTCAGGGCCCAGCCAATCAGTGATGGGCCCAGCTTGCTTGGGCGATGACACATGAAATATGATAATTTTCTGCTAAAGGGCCCTAGAAGGGGAGAAGGAAGAGTGTGTGTGTGTGGCTGGGAGGTGTTCACACAGGAGCGCCTACGATGAGGTGGGAGGGTGACAGTGCACTTGCTTTCAAAGTTTGCCCGATAGGACTAGGCAAGGGAAGGAACGGGCTGCGATGCTGGAGCGGCTGTAGGCGCACCCCTGTGGCACCTGAAGGGAGCCACTGCCGCTGCGCCTAGGCGGGAACCAGCGGAGGTGCAGACATCGCCATGCTGGAGCTCTGGGGGCCAGGTGGGCGGAGAGGGTGAAGGCATTTGCCTTCTTATCACATGTGAGCAAGGTTAGGACTCGTGTTTATTCTCAGTGCTGCCTCTTTAAAAGCCAGAACAAAACTGCAGTAAACACCATCTAGGTGGCTGAAGTATTCGAAGGATAATTTTTTTTTCAGAAAAATTTAGGCCAGGGTTGTCTCTCCCCCTACCCCGTTTTTCTACCTCCATGTTCAACTTGGCCCTTAAAAGAAAAGTGAAAAACAAAACAACAACAGAACTCAGTAACAAAATCTTGAAGAAGGGCCTCAGTCTGAATCTTAAAGACTCTTAAGTTTCGGGTGGTAGTTTTGATTCCCGATTCTGGTTGGAAGGAAATACGTGGCTCTGGATTACGTTTGAATTTAGAAATAGTGCCAGAGTGATGCTTTGGTTTGTGGAACTGGGCCCCGAGACTGCAGAGGAAGGCAGGGCAGGGCAAGGGGTGCCCGTGGTGAGCTCTCAGGTACAGAGGCCCCACTTCAGCCACCTGGAGGCTCCCTGGCCCCTGATCCGCTGCCAGAGGCTGGTGAGGTGTGACATGCTTGCTGACAAGAGTGCCATGCCTCGTCTGACCCGTGAACACCAGTGTTCAGGAGTAAAGGATCATAGTGTTTACATAACGTGCCGATTAGTCACTGAGAAGCTCATCACTGCAATAAATATTTATGGCTTGTATTAGCATTTTTTCCCCTCTCTCCACATATGTATGTGTAATATATGAATATATATTACACATTTTTGTTTTTAAAAGAACAAATACGTGAAATCCTTATCACTGCATGCAAGCCTGCCGTGGCTTTAGGCATGGGACTGGCTTCCTAAGCTGGGAGTGACAGCTATTCCGAAGTGATAATTGGTGTACTGTGTCTTTAAAAGGTTAAAACCCCTTTCAAAAAAAGGTCTGGACTCCTAGTGGGAAAGACAAGCGAGGCATGGGTTGGCTCTGGATTCAGAAAACAGCTGCTGATTAGATTCTGTGTCTGCGGGCTGAATTTATTCGGTGTTTTTCAGCAGCAGGAATTCAAGAGGGATGCTTCTGTTTGGGTTTCTGATCGTGATTTATATTTATTCAGAGGAATAACAGAGGGTGGATCTGTTCCCGGCGCGAGCATGCTCACAACCAGCCGACTCTCCCATTATCCAACTGCCTAGTTTGGTGCTTCAGTGTACATGGCTATTCCGTGTGCATATGTGTGTATACAAACACGCATGCATGCCTGGATGGACATACGTATGCACAGGTTATTTTTTAAGGACAATTCTTTCAATAAGGTCTTTACCCCTTACTTGAAACAGGTGTTCATGAAAAAAATGCACAAAATCCTGCCTGGCCGGAATAATTCATGAAGAAGGGGCTGGATCCGTGGGTCAGAGAACACAGGACCAGTTTGCCATCCCAAGGCTGAAGGTAGGGTACTCTGGGTTTTTATTCGACGGATGGATTCCTTGCGCTGTATTTTACCTTGTGATTGTGTTTTTGCCTGCGGCTGCAACTAGAAGCAGAATAGCGAGCTGCGATTCCATTTTGTGGCTGCCTTTCTTAGGCAAGGGGTCCGGCTGCCGAGGCGCAGGGGCCGGCCAGTGGGCTGCACGCGGCGGCCGGTGCCCCCGGTGGGCTGAGCGCGCTGCTCGGCCTGGTGCTGGGGAGCGGCGAGAGCCTCAAGTGACCCCCGCGCGTCAATCACAGGCGGTGGCGGTGGCAGCGGCGGCAGCAGCGGCAGCGGCGGCGGGGCTGTAACCCTGTGCGCGCCGTGCGCTCCAGCGCCGCTCGCATTTGGCTCGGCTGGGCTCTGCACCCACGCACTGGTGGCCGGCTCCCTGGGAGCCTCGGCTGGAGGGCACAGGCATCGCCTACCGTGGCACCTGCGTTTTCTTCTGCTGCCTTGACTGTTGCTCCGGGATTGTTCAGGCGGACTCCAGTAGCCTGCTTGGTTGAGAATGAGATTCGTATGATGCTGGCTGCTGAGACAGAAGGGACAGCTTTCTCTTCCCCGCTTAATCCTAGCCCCCTGAAAATATTCCTAAAGCAAACTCATCCCCCAACCCCCAACCCGACCCAACCAAACCCAAACCAAACTCCTGTTCTACTGGGGATCCCTGCTAGCAGAGAGAGTGCCTTCTCCAAGTTGTGCCCCACATTTTACCATCTTTTAAGTGGAAACATTGATGGTCCCTAATAGTCCCTGATGATATTGTCCAGGCTGCTGAGGACTCCTGAGTGTGGCAGTCCCCCTGAACCCGCATAAATTGGACAGAGAGTGATGGTGCAGAGGAACTTGGAGGCCCAGCCTTCGGTTCCTTTAACGTGGCTGGTATGGTTTCTGTTGTGGGTCAGGAATATCTCTGTGGCTAGGCCCTTCCTTGAACTTTGGGGGCAGTGGTTGCAGGGAGAGGGTCTGCAGGTCTGGTTGCTGGGTGAGCAGCACCCTGGCCCTCCTTCCGGTGTTCCCTGACGTTTCTGGTAGCCTTTGGCATTGTAACCACAGCAGCGAGGTGCCGGCTAGCTACCTGGAGTGCTTCTGTTTTGTTAACTCTGGTTTGCATTTTGTGGGTTGTGGGGGGAGGGAGGAGGAAAGAGGGAGAATGAGGTGTTTGCTGAACTGATCTGCATGGCAGTGTTCTCTAGCCCATGTTTGTGTGATTATGTAATGATCAGATGTGTGCCCAAACAGCTCCCCACCATCTCCTGGCCCTCCCCCAGACTGAAGAAGTTGAGTGCTACAGTTGTTTAAGATGTCTTTATATAATTATGTGTGTGCTGGGGACAGGGAGGGAGTTGGGGCGAGGAGGAATAATTTGAGCAACTTAAATGTGAAGACCACAGGTCAGTGATCGTGTGTCCCTCTGAGGATCGTGTGGTATTAGCTTTGGGTCAGTCTTGATCTGAAGACCCTCCATATCTCTTTCAGCCAGTCATTGCTTATCTGAATTTTCATTTGGTAATTTCACCCCCCTTGTGCCCTGGAGAAAGTTGGACCCAGGAGAAGGACCCCTGCAGGGCCCCCAGTTTCCCAATTCCAGGCAGAAAATGAAACCTGAAGCCAGGGTGGTAGGCCAGGTCCCACCTGTTCCTCCTGCTCCTGCTGAGCAGCCAGTGTGGGGAGGAGTTCCTGTTCACTACGCTGTCACTTGTGCTCTGCGGATACTGTGAGGCTGAAAAGTAGACCTCAGATGCTGTCTGAGCTGTTTGACATGTGCTTTTTAAAGCTGTCACAGCTTGCAGAGGCTGGAGGCCCTTTACCTCATTGCATTTAAAGATTGTGGAAGTTTTTTTTTGCAAAGAAGGAGAACAGCTGTCCAACTAAGATACCTGCAGGCAGGAGGGAAGGGTGTGTGTGACACTTAGCTCTTTTTGCTTCCTCCCCACTATGTCTAGTTAAGGTACCCACAGGATACAGAATTGTAAACAGGGGCCCTCCTGTCACACCCCTGAGTGTCTCAGCCTGAGGCTGTTGGGCAGATCTGTTAATTTGGCAGCAAAGTCTGGCCCCTGAAGGCTAAGATTGTTTTTTTGCCCTCAACACTCCAGTGGGTTTGCTTTGAGGGCCAACTACTACTGTGAACTCTGTGGCAGTGGATCAAGATGTGCTCAACTGGCACTATTGTTGAGCTGTCTCCGCCCATTGTGTTTTAGTGGCAGCCACCCTCCTTGGAGTGGAGAAGTGTGTACTGCCTTTGGGCCCTTGCCAAGTGAGCCGTTGAGACATTTAGTGTATGAAAGGTACAGGCAAGAAGAAGATGCATTTAGTCTGAAGTCCTGGCAGGTTCTAAGACCTGAATTGATGAAAGATAACATTAAGAAAGCTGTGTGACAACTGGATAGCATTTACCTTGTCTCCCACTCCCTGCTCCGTGAGTTCCCTGATGTCTTTAAGGCTCTTTTCTGCCCTCCAGGCTGCCCATCAAGGAGGCCCTGACTTGCTGTTCTCCATCCTGCTTTCTGGGGAGTCAAAGCATATTTACAAATCTGCAGATGCTCTGGGCAGGCAGGGTTGGAAACACTGGCTGTGGCAACAGGCAGCACTGGCATTCTGGGTCAGACTTGGCCAAAGCCCGTGACCCATTTTCTTCCTTATCTGTAAAGTAGGTGTAACCACCATCACCTTACCAAGACCACTGAACTGTCTTGGGCAGAAAATGAGTTGAGTTTAGTAACATATGCTCTATAGTTGATGGGTGTTAGGATAATACCACAAGAATCTGGAACTCACATTTATACAATTTCACTTATCCAATTGGTACCTAGGTAGCAAATCAAGTGAAAAGTCATAAGTCCAGGAGCTACAGTTCATGAATTTCGATCACTGGAGGAAATTTTAGACTCTCATTCAGGCCTCTGCCTGTACTTCAAGTTTCAAGAGGCTTGATTGTTAGTTTGTCAAATGCACCTAGCAAATTGGAAGCAACTGATAATGTACTGGGCAAGGATTATTAAAGATCTTTTATCAAGTATCAGTAAGAAGTAACAGTAACACAAAAAACAAAAAACCAAAAAAAATTAAAAGGCAGAAGAATTGAAGGCATGGAATTCTAAAGCTAATATAGGCATTTAATGTAATGAGTTCAGTGAAATTTTATGTATTTTGATGGGTCTTCGGGACTCTGTTTTAAAATATAGTAACTGATACTCACAATGACCCACATGTATCCATAGAAGTTCAAATTATATTTTGTTCATCCAGTTTTAAAAGACATGAGAGTTTTGAAGTATCCCAGAATGATTTTTTTTCTTTGCATGATTCTTAGAGGAAAAAAACCTGCTGCTATCCAGGATAATGGAACCCAAGAGGTTTCTGGATAGCCAGTGGCTTACTGGTCAAAATTATATTCCAACTATAAAGTCCTATTGTTGAAATTGAGAACTTTATGACCTTTTGTCAAAATTTATCAGGGAACTACTATGCTGGTGTTATTATTAGTGCGAATGTTCTAATGTTTGATACTAAAGAGTATTTTTTTTTTAACTGTCAAACGTTAGAACAGGCCGAACCTCAGCCTGTCTCAACCTGTCTTGTTGATCTTCAACCTGTCTTGTCATGACCAGGCAACACACTTAGAGTTTTTCCAGCTCGGTGACTTTAATGCTGGAGTTGGAAGAGAGCTCGTCATGGAAAAGTTGAAGCAGGAGAGGTGGACCCTAGTGGCATCTGTTTCTTACATCTGTGTAGGGAATGTAGAGTTACCACCACCAGGATGTTGTTCAATCTGTCATGGCCACACCCTTATGCCAAGGAATGGTGTTTTTGCAGTTCAGACATTGTGCTGAAAACTGGAAGGGTGGCTGAGATGTACGAGCAGTGTCAAACTTGGCCTGACCCTCTGACAATGTGCTCAGTTAAAATTGGCTCCAAAACAAAGGCAAGAAGAAAAACAAAAGTAGAGGAAAATAAATATGGACACTTTTAGAATAGTACTTTAACATTTCAATACAATCAATATGTGGAAAATGTAAAGACCTAATTAAAAGTAATGGAAGAATATTTCTCAGTTTCTAGATGCACATACATTCATTGTTTTGGTAACTTACTTGAAAAAAATTGTTTAACTAAAAGAAACTGTCAGTGACAGGTTATTGAATATAATCACAAATGCTAAGAACTCTTCAAAAGTTCCCTGTGTCTAATTGTAATAGGATGGAGAAAAGGGTATTCCCTGAAATCACACGGCGCTTGGAGGACAGAGGAGGTGGGGCTTGGTGGTGAGAAGTGACTGAACCGTGGTATCCAGAGGGCTGCCCTGCTGGGAGGGTTCACAGTTGGAAATATGTGTTTGGGAGGCAGGACAAGGATGGAAGTGGTGAGTACACGACTGGTGGGACTCCTTTCCTCATTACTAAGTGTTCTGAAATGCCAGGTGCAGCTGGGATTCTTGTGGATAAAAGGGGAAGCTTTATATCTAAATGTTAAGTAGGGGTGATCTGAGAATGCCCTTCAGATTTGAGGAGCAAAGCCAGGGAGAAGCTAGTCCCAGAAATCTTGAGATCTCTGAGCCTCGGTGGACCCTTGAATTGGGGTTTGGGGTCAGCTTTTAAAAAGTGTGTTGGCCGGGCGCGGTGGCTCAAGCCTGTAATCCCAGCACTTTGGGAGGCCGAGGCGGGTGGATCACGAGGTCAAGAGATTGAGACCATCCTGGTCAACATGGTGAAACCCCGTCTCTACTAAAAACACAAAAACTTAGCTGGGCATGGTGGCGCGTGCCTGTAATCCCAGCTACTCAGGTGGCTGAGGCAGGAGAATTGCCTGAACCCAGGAGGCGGAGGTTGCGGTGAGCCGAGATCGCGCAATTGCACTCCAGCCTGGGTAACAAGAGTGAAAACTCCGTCTCAAAAAAAAAAAAAAAAAAAAAAAAAAGTGCATTATGTATGAATAACTGAGATCCAAAGAAAAGCTAATAAACAAATAGTAGAAA